GCACACAGATTATAACAGTATCATGATGGGTAGACGATCTACTCCTGTTTGCAAATAGTGTTGATCTTATGAGTCAGTTAAAGATGCAGCTAAAAGAGATATTAGACATTACCGACCTGGGAGAACCTAAGAAGATAGTAGGAATTGAAATAACGAGAGACTGTGCCGAGAAAACAATTAAGTTATCTCAAGCACGGTACATAGATTCAATCCTATAAAAATATGGACTCCAGGACACACTCTCACAAAATGTAAAAGTGAAAGCAACATTTTGCATAGATGCAAAAGCAAGGATAGCTAGCTATTACCATCTATTACAAATATCACTTAGAATTTATGAGAATGTCCATGATGAGTAGGACCCTGAGCTGCAACCTTCCTCCCCCTAGTATTCTTGGCCTTTGCTTGGCCTTCTGTCTTTATATCATCATTAGCTTCATCAGCTTCATCAGCATCATTAGCTACTAGTGATGTGCACGGCCCAGCTTCAAGCCATGAGCTGGCCAAAGCCGGCCCTAGTCAGGCCCAGCCAAGCCTGGCCAAAGTCATGGCCTGACCACGGCCTAGGGCCTGGCCTGGGTAGTTGAAAAGCTGGAGCCGGCGGCTCAAGCTGTGGCTTTTACTCCTACTAATCAAACCTCTATTTTTGTCTAACGGCTGCTAACCTTCTGTGAATCTCGAGCACGTCCGAGACGTCCAATGAAATAAAGTCCTGTCAAGTGTTTGATCTTAGCCAAAAGGAGCATCAGAGCACGACGTGTCTGACATCGGCTCATGCTCGTTGTCCCACATATTCTGTTCCTTCGAAACAGCAATATTTCACGTCTATGCTAGCCAGTCAAATGTGAGTTGCCCTTTGTCATGCTTCGCAACCTCGATGATACTTGGTCTCATGCTACTTAGATCTTTGAAGCATTATATATCTGCGGCACAAATCTTGATTTTATTGAGATAAAAACTACAATAGTACGTCGCCATCCCTACTCACAAATCCCCAATTCTAATGGCTGGAACAGTCCTTTCAGATAGTTATGAGCCTCGACTAGTGCGTCCAGCCCGCAAAATCAAGCCCTCCACTGCGCTGCTCGAGCACTCTGAAAAAGTGGCTCTCCCATCTCAAATTAAAGCCATCAATGCATTTCGTGCAGCAGAGGCCGCAAAACATGCTTCCAACAATACCCAACTGCCCTCCAGTCCACCTACTCCTGAAGTCACTGTCTCTGCACCCATACTTGCCAACAAACGAGCACAAACTGAAGATATCAAAGAGGGCTATGAATCTAGTGGCGAGGAACGTGAAAATGATGAGGATGACGAGGAATGCGAAAATGCGCGGACAAACCCTTGTAAGTCTATATCTATTCATGTAGGAGAATGCTCACTCATTACCATTAGCCAAACGAGCACGCCATCAGCAAACTACTGTTGAAGACCATGAAGATGTTGATGAAGATGGGATTCTCATGGATATTGATGTCCAGCCTATCACTGACGAGTCTGGTCCCACATGTGAGGATCGGACTCGTGATATTGATGAATTCTTCGGCAAACCTTTCGAGCGCACAAACACCAATGGCATCGTGAAAAAACACTGCAAGTGCAAAGTCTGTCCATACATTGTCTCATCATAACTTTCATGTGTCTGTATCATTAATATCACATAATGACTCTTAGGAATTCTTGCATAATCGTAAATGAGACATCCACACTGTGTTAAGGTCGTACTCTCGTAAGATCGGATCCGAAGGACTTCGGCCTCAGCTCGTACGCTGTGCCCCTTTCCCAAGTACTGTCCCTTATTTCAAAGTACTAACGATAACGCGTCCGAAGGTCCGGACGGGTCTCGTAGTATATCCGGAAGTCTTCCGGATATCGGAAACGCGTATAAGGCTAATCCGGACGTATCCGAACTAGAAACTAACAGAGTAAAGACTACCCGAAGGTAGAGCCGAGGATATAGACTATCGGAATCTATCCGAAGTCTCGGAGAGTGACAAGAGTAAGGAGAACTCAAGTCCGGAGGACAGAAAGAGGACAAACTAAGATGATATTCGAACTGAGGTACTACAGGACATATACACGAGTTTATATACTATGAGGATAACGGAAGTATCAGTAAGCAAGGGTCCGAGGCTATGTACGAAGCATGTGCAAAGGTTATCAAACGCGAGTCGGAAATGAGACATAGGTTAACGGATCAGTAATCATACCGGTAATAAGCATAACCGAAACACCGGGAAGAGGAAATACCGAATAGGCTGTGTTTAACGTTATATGAAACAGGAAATGAATTAGAAAGCTTATCGTAAATCGGATCGGAAGCGGATCTATACATCGGACCGGACCGGATCTCAGGGTCCGAAGTCCGGAAGAGAAGCGTGAATATATGGGATATGACAGTATCCCCCCCTTAGGGCCGATCCCTAGAGGCACAAGAACCATCGGTCCGGACCGGACGAGATTATCGCGAGATGATGGAGAAGCGTCTGAGTTCGGAATCGGACAGGTATACTCAAGGGCGGACGTCCCAGGATGATTCTTCCTTTCCCACTTTTTACTCTCTATAACGCTCTATCGAAAATGTCTGGCAACACCTCCGGATCTCAGAAGACTGCTAAGCAGAAACTGCTGGAGCTTCAACAGCAACTAGCGGACGCTGAAGCTGCGGCTCGGAAGGAGGAGGAGGAGATTCGGAAGCGTCAGGAGGCGGAGCGGAAGCGTGAAGAGGAACGGAAGATTCAGGAGGATCTTAAGAGGATTCGAGAGTCCGAAATTCGGGTGGAGGCAGAAAACAAACGGCGCAGGGAGATAGTAGAGGAAATGGTGAGTTTCGGATGGTTATGATGGCTTTGCCTGACGGATGAAAAGTCTCGTGCCATTTCCGCTGACAAGGACGGATCCTGCAAGCGTTGCAGCGACAGAGGCCGGACTTGCCTTTGGACGGATGCGGAGAGCAATGCTCTGGTGAGTTAATCCGTGTTTTTTTTTTTTTGGATCCGAGTGTTTTGACGTCCGGATAGGTCAAGTCTTGCGATATCTGCCGGAAGGACAAGGCCACGTGCCCCGGACGACCCGGAACTGTCAAGGTGCCCAAGGGCAAGAAGAGGAAGCATGCTGCCGGATCTCCATCTCCGAAAGGTAAAGGTAAGAAACGTCAGAAGAGTCCGACTCCTGAAGATCCGGAGGAGATGGAGACGGAATACGATGATCAGGCTTGGGTGGCCGCAGCCAACAGTATAGTGGCGGAGCTGGCTAGGACTAACACCCTTTTGGAGAGAAGTATTCAGGCGGCGGAAGGCAGCAGGGCTGCAGCGGACCGGATGAGCTCCGGAATTGAGCTGTTCCTTCAGCAACAGAGGGAATTTCAAGCCATGTTGTTCGGACATATTCGGAAGGGATTTCGGACGTCTCCGGGTCCGGAGGAGGAAGATGAGGTGATGGAAAGGGCGTCCGGAAGTGATGCAGGCGGATCCGGAGAGGCGGATGGGTCTATGGAGATGTAGGAATTTCTGGTCCGTTTATGCTTCTTCTCTAAATGTACTTGTATTTCGTATGCACACTATGTACTTCAAAGTTGAATAGGACCGGGTTTGTTCGGATATGCAGCGTGGAAGTCCGAAACTAGTTCGGATGCGTTACCGAGCTCCGTAGCAAGTAACCATGAAGTCTCCTCGTCCGTTCCTTCATATCCGGACCATCGGACGAGGTATAGGAGTTGACATTGTCTTCTCCGACGGTCTAATTTTGAGTCCAAAACTTCGGATATCTCATATTCGGGTTCTCCGTCGACTTCGACCGGAGGCGGAGGCGATTGGATACGATTAGGAATGGTATTGAGTGTGGCTGGTTCTAATTGCGAGACATGGAAAACTGGGTGTACGGAGCGCATGGAATCCGGAAGTCGGATGGTGAAAGAATGCGTACCCGGACGAGCTATGATTTCGAACGGACCTAAGTTCTTTTCCGAGAGTTTCTTGGACGGACGGGTGGATCGGAAGTATTTTGCTTTGACGAAGACCGAATCTCCGATTTTCATATCCGGAGCAGGTTTCCGTTTGGCGTCCGCAGGTCCTTGATATCTTTCTTGTGCGTGGGCCATTTCTTCTCGGAGGAACTGATGGAGTTCGTCAAGGTCTACTGCATAGTCTCGTGCGCGGGCGGATGAGAGGTCACGTTCCGGATGAACGGATAGGTTCGGATGATATCCCTTATTGGCGAAGAAGGGTGATACTCCGGTAGTAGCACTCGGAGCGTTGTTATAAGCGAATTCTGCCAAGGGAAGTAGTTCCGACCAGTTATCCTGCTGATAGTTGCAGTATATCCGGAGGTATTGTTCAAGGGTTTGGTTCGCTCGTTCGGTTTGTCCGTCTCCTTCCGGATGATATCCGGACGTGAAGTGGAGGACCATATCTAATGCTTTTCCTAAGGACCGGAAGAAATGCGATACGAATTCTGTTCCTCGGTCCGAAGTGACATGGGATGGAACTCCGTGCTTGGAAAACACGTGGAGGACGAATAGACGAGCGAGATCCGGAGAGGTAATGGTGTCGTGGGTAGGGATGAATATAGCTTGTTTGGATAGACGGTCGATTACGACGAGGATGGCTGTAAAGCCGGATGAGTCCGGAAGGTGCTCGATGAAATCCATGGATATAGAATTCCAAGGCTTTTCCGGTATGGGTAACTGCTTGAGCAATCCGTAAGGTTTGTGTCTCGGAACCTTAGCTCGGCCGCAGGAAGTACAAGACTTGACGTAGTCTTTGACATAGGTACGGATTCCTGGCCAAGTGTACTCGCGTCGGATGATATCTAGCGTCCGGTTCTGTCCGAAGTGTCCGGACAACGGATGATCATGAGTATTCTGGAGGACGCGAAGACGGAGATTATTAGATTCCGGAACATATATACGGTTGTCGCAGCGGAGGAAACCACTATCGTCCACCGTCCATCTCGGATCCGAAGGTTCCGGAAGATGTTCGGATGCGATAGGGTCATTAGGAAGTGCGGTCAGGATGTCTTTCCGGAGCTGGTCGATATCAATCAGAACGGCTGCCCTAAGAACCGGAGTTACTAGAGTTGAGGCTCGGAGGGACGAAGCTAACTGTTCCGAAGTGAATACCGGACGGAAATTGTGAGGGTTAACTCGAGCGTAGTCCTTATCCCCCTCTTTGGGATAGACGTCCCAGCGTCTAGTAAGGGAATCCGGTTTAGCTCCGAGTTTTCCGGGACGGAAACGGATGACTAGGTTAAACTGATGGAGGAATTCCGACCAGCGGGCCTGACGGCGAGAGAGGAGTTTTGTGGTAGAGAAATACTCAAGGTTCTTATGGTCCGTGACAACGTCTATCGGCTCGGCAGAGCCTTCAAGGTAATGTCGCCACGTCCGAAAAGCTTCATGGATGGCTAGAAGTTCCTTATCGTGAGTGTCGTAGTTGAGTTCCGGAGCGGTAAGCGTCCGAGAATAAAATGCCACCGGACGAAGCTCTGAGTCCGGACATACTATGGAAAGTATTCCGGCTATAGCGTAGTCAGAGGCGTCGGTTTCTACGACTATCGGAACATTCGGAATCCAGTGCGTAAGCACCGGAGCGGACGTGAAAGCTTTCTTGAGTGTTTCAAAAGACTTCCGACAATCATCGGAAAAATCCCAAGTAACCCCCTTGCGGGTAAGACGGGTGAGCGGAACTACGATGTCCGAGTAATTGAAAATGAATCGACGATAGAAATTTGCGAATCCGAGGAAGGATTGAATATCCTTAACTTTCCGAGGTTCCGGCCAGTCAACGATGGACTGGATCTTCTCGGACATGTTCCTTATGGGATGCAAGGTCTTGGGAATAGATGAGGATGTCGTCCAGATATACGATAACGCATACATCCAGCATATCAGCAAACACGCTATTGACAAAGCGTTGGAATGCAGCCGGAGCGTTAGTGAGACCTTCCGGCATTACCAACCATTCATATGAGCCATAACGCGTTCGGAACGCGGTCTTCCATTCGTCTCCGTCCGCTATCCGGACGAGATGATAAGCGGATCGGAGGTCGATTTTGGTATAGACTTTAGCGCGGCTCGGAGAGTCTAGGAGGTCGGTAATGAGAGGTAACGGATATCGGTCTTTCTTGGTAATCTGGTTAAGTCCACGGAAATCTACACAGAGGCGAAGGGAGCCATCCTTTTTCTTGACAAACAGGACAGGAGCTCCGTGAGAAGAGGATGAGGAACGGAGGAGTCCGGAGGAAATATTTTCATCAAGAAACTTCCGGAGGGCTGCAAGCTCAACTGCAGATAGAGAATAAATGGTTCCGAGGGGCGGACTAGTTCCTTCCTCTAACTCGATTTTGAGATCATAGGGACGATGAGGAGGAAGTTGGCTAGCTTTGCCCTTATCGAACACATCCGAGAATTCGTGATATTCCGGAGGAATTCCGGACAGGTCCGGAGGATCGGATGAAAGGGAAGCGGACCGGAGGTCTACACCGGTCGGACGAAGGTAGATGCTGAACTGTTCCGATCCTTCCAATTTGCAGGCCCGGCAAAAGGCAACCGCATTGATCAAGGAAATGTTGGGGATGGTTTTATCAGCGGAGGTTCCGGATGTAGTCGGAGGAGGTAAATCTTCCATCGGAGGATGCGGATCCGGAGACGGAAGCGACGTCGGAGGTGTCGAAGGCATTCCATGAGAAGTCGTTCGGAAATCGATGCTGCCCGAAACCCAGTCAATCAACGGATTGTGTAGGGTGAGCCAGCTATATCCAAGAACGATAAAACAAGAAGAATCCAACGGAGTAACGTAAAACGTATCGGAGGTAACTACACCGGACGGAAAACAGATAGGCAAATCTATAGCTTCGGAAATCATATTATTACAAGTACCATCAAACAAACGGAGAGAAAGCGGAGATATCGGATATGTAGGAATTTTATTTTTTCGGACGAAATCAGAGTCTATAAAACAGTGAGAGGAACCACAATCAATTAGTGAAGGAAAATCAGAAATATCAGGAAAAGTAGGAATAGAAACGTATGGACAAAGAGAGTTCGGATCGGAAAGAGAAACAGCATTGAGACGTAGCTCCGTTGCACGGGTAGAGTCAACGCAACCCTCATCCCGTGCGGAGTCGGGAGGGTTGCGGACTATTTTTTTGCTTCATCCGAAGCCTCCGGTTTGTCTTCCGGAGTTACTACTGCAGCGCGGCCTTTGGCAGCGCGCGAAGTAGACTTGGTGCATTCCCGAGCCGAATGGCCGGGTCCACCGCAGAATAGACAGAGTTTGTTATCCATCCGTCTCTTACGTTCTTCGGACGTGAGCTTCCCGTCCTTTCCTAACTTGGAGGTAAGGTCCGGAGGTTTAGAAACGGAGGATGATGCGGAAGTAGCGGGTTTGTCGGATTTGTACCTCGAAGGTCCGGACGAGTTGGAATTCGTCCGATCGGACGTGGTTTGCTTAGGAGGAATGGAGGTGGTGGGTTTAGTTTCGCGGGCGACTTCTCCCTTCCGTTCCCAGTATCGAGCGTCGATAGTCTGGGCAAGGATCTTGTATTCGGAAAGGGTGGAAGGTTTACCCATGCGACTGATTTCGTCTTTGATACGAGCCGGAAGTCCGTTATAGAATTGGCGTCTTAGGGCACCGTCACCCCAGCCACGGACTTGTGAAGCAAGACGCTGAAATTCAACAACATATTTATTAATGCGTTGTCCGTCACGCATATGAAGTTGCTCCAATTGCATTTCCGCATCTCCGGACGGATCGTGCGGTCCGAAATTGGTTTGGAGTTCAAGCATGAACGCGGAGTAATCATCCATCCAATCCGGACGATCATCGTCCTCGTCGGCTAGGAGATCCGGTTCGAACCACTCGAGTGCCATACCCTTAAGGTAGGATTGGGCGAAGTTGACTTTTGCCCGTCCGGAACGGAAGGCTTTGGGTTTGCTTTGGAAGTGGAGCTCGCATTGGACGAAGAATGCACGAAGCTTCCGAGGCTCAGTGCCATCGAAAGTATCGGGCTCACGGATCTTGACTTTAGAATCTTCGGACGAGGTCGGACGACGATTGTTGCGTGCGAGATTGTCGATGGCTTGAGAAAGCCGAAGCATGACACGGTCTTGTGGGTTTAACCCGTCAAATTCATCATCGTTGTCATCCGGTTCATCATCCGGATCACCTCCGAAGTCATCCGGAGGGTTTCCACCAGGAGTATCTTCATCGTCCGGAGGTCCTTCGTCATCCGGATCACCTCCGGCAGGAGTGCGCGTAGGGGTTTCCGGATGCGGACGATTCATGAGTTGCGAAATACTTTGAGCAGGACCGCGTGATACACGGCGCTGAGAGAAACTGGTGAAGGCGTTAACTACGGATGTCGGATCGCGTCGGGTGGACGAAAGTCCGACAGCGTGCAAAGCGGCTTGGTTTACTTTAGTAGGAGCCATGATATGAGTAAGTGTACTTGGAAAGGTGTGAGTTCGAATATACTGTTAAGGTCGTACTCTCGTAAGATCGGATCCGAAGGACTTCGGCCTCAGCTCGTACGCTGTGCCCCTTTCCCAAGTACTGTCCCTTATTTCAAAGTACTAACGATAACGCGTCCGAAGGTCCGGACGGGTCTCGTAGTATATCCGGAAGTCTTCCGGATATCGGAAACGCGTATAAGGCTAATCCGGACGTATCCGAACTAGAAACTAACAGAGTAAAGACTACCCGAAGGTAGAGCCGAGGATATAGACTATCGGAATCTATCCGAAGTCTCGGAGAGTGACAAGAGTAAGGAGAACTCAAGTCCGGAGGACAGAAAGAGGACAAACTAAGATGATATTCGAACTGAGGTACTACAGGACATATACACGAGTTTATATACTATGAGGATAACGGAAGTATCAGTAAGCAAGGGTCCGAGGCTATGTACGAAGCATGTGCAAAGGTTATCAAACGCGAGTCGGAAATGAGACATAGGTTAACGGATCAGTAATCATACCGGTAATAAGCATAACCGAAACACCGGGAAGAGGAAATACCGAATAGGCTGTGTTTAACGTTATATGAAACAGGAAATGAATTAGAAAGCTTATCGTAAATCGGATCGGAAGCGGATCTATACATCGGACCGGACCGGATCTCAGGGTCCGAAGTCCGGAAGAGAAGCGTGAATATATGGGATATGACACACTGCGCCGTCACACCGAAGCTAGATTTGCTGTAAGTTTTCTTATTATCATCAACATATATCTAAATAATGTATGTACATAGGGTAAATATCGTAAATGGGCTAAAGACAACGCCTTTCTGTCAAAACTGCCAGGTGATGTTGCTGCAGAGAAAAAGAAAGCTGCACGAGCACAGCAAATGCTTGACACCCATATGACTGAGCACAAGTTGTCGGAGCACATTGTTCCTTACTCTGACCAGCTTTTCAGAAAGGCAGCAATTGAGTGGATCATTACTACGGATTAGGTAAACTCTTCATATCATTTGGCTGCATAGTACTAACAATCATTAAAGCCCATTCAGGCTCTTGAACACCTGAGATTCAAAGAGATGGTAGACGTTGCCTCACATGCTACATAGGGTGTCAAAATTCCAGGCCACAAAGCAACCCACGCTGAAATTATGTGTATGTTCAAGAGCCATCTCACCAAACTCAGAAAGAAGTTAAATGTATGTTGTCATTCTTTGCACTATTGTCTGTTATGATCTAATGTCATATTCTAGAGTGAATCCGTCAGCGGCGCCATCAATGTTACATGCTGTCATATCCCGCGTTCCGGACCCAGACTTATCACATATCATTTCCGGATATCCGGATCCGACCCGCGTCTAACTTCCGTGCCTTATCCCTTTGTATGTTCCTACTCCGGTTAGACTAAATCATTTTCTGTACCTCGTTTCATTTCCGCCCTTTATTTTCCTCTGATCTAATCTCCGGGTTCATTTAACTATTTTCCGATAGACTAGTGTTTGACTTTTCTATACGCTCTGTCCACCGCTTTTTATAGCTTCGGACTTCACATCTTAGTAGTATATAAACCCTGTAGAATCTATGTACATCTTTAGTTTGAATATTATCTTAGACTCTGCTCATTCCTTCCTCCGTCCGACTTGAGTTATCCTCTCGTCGACCTCCGCTCGTCTTAGGATTGATTCCTATTGACTTATCACCTCCGCCTCTACCTTTGGTAGTCCTCCGCTGTTTCCTTTCTAGTTCGGACTTTGTCCGGATTAGTCTTATCTCTTGTTCCCGAACGTCCGCCGGAATTCCCGCACATCGGACATCGGACTCCGGACATCGCCCGACACCCTCCGGACATCGCCCGACACCCTCCGGACATCGTCCGACACCCTCCGGACATCGTCCGGTAACCTTCGGATATTGTTCGACAGCCTTCAGAAGTTAGGGGCACGTACTCGGGTAAGGGGCGCAGCGCACGAGCTGAAGCCAAGCCCTTCGGATTTGACCCTTGAGCACGTTCTTAACACATGCGATGCATGGCAGGCTGACAACACAGACGGCTATTTTGTGGTCACTGGCCACTGGATTGAAGAAAAGATTCCAATGCAGTGGGAACCTGGGAATGTGTTGCTTGGTTTTACGAAGCTCAACAACACTCATAATGGCCAGCGCCTTGGTGGTACCTTATTCAAAGTGCTTGATTGCCTTGGTGTTACACATAAAGTATGTTTATTGATTCCTCTCGAACACTACAGCTTATGTCTACTTACTAGATTGGTCATGTTACATGTGACAACGCAGCGAACAACAACACTATGCTGCAAGAGTTTGCGTAGTTATACGAGGCGAAGTATAAGAAGGTTTTTCCATGGCTCGAGCGCAAGATCAAGTA